GTTTGTTTGTTTTTGCCTATAGTGGTGGAATGAGAGAGGGCTCTGATTTCTCCCTCTTCTTATAAAGGCAGTAATCTCATTATGGGGGCTCTACCATGATGACCTCATCTAAATCTAATTACCTCCCAAAGGCCCCACCTCCAAATACCATCACACTGGGGATGAGGGCTTTAACATGTAAATTTGGGCTAGGGAAGGGGGCCATAAACATTCAGTCCACAGCATACTACTTCATTCCCTTTTATAGCCGAACAGTATTCTGGCTGCTTGATTCTGGTGTTGAGCCCCTCGATTGAATTTTTCATTTCAATTATTGTACTTTTTAACTCCTAAATTTCTATTTGGTTCCTTTTATAAAAATAATTTCTTTCTCTGTATTGCTATTTTCTATTTAGTGAGACATCATTCTCATGCTTTCCTATATAGTTCCTTAGACATGGTTCCCTTTAAGTCTTTGAATATATTTAAGATAGCTGATGTAAAGTTTGTCTAAAAAGTCCAATGTCTGGGCTTCCTCCAGGACAGTTTCTATTGACTGCCCTTTTTCCCTGTGGATAATAATAAAAATCCCAGTAAGAATGTGCATGAATCATACCTTCTTGTTTCTTTACATCCCTCATAATTTTTTTTTTGTTGAAAACTGGACATTTCTAATATTATAATGTGACAATTCTGGAAATTTCATTCTCTTCTCTCTCCGGGGTTTGTTATTGTGGCTGTTATTTATTTAGTGACTTTTCTTAACTAATCTGTGAAGCCTACATTATTTGTTGTGATTAGCCATGGAAGTCTTTGTTTTCTTAACTTAGGGGTCAGCTAATGATTGGACAGAGGTTTCTTTAAATGTCTCTAACCAGTGACTCTCCCAGCCTTTGCTGAGGGGCTCTGAATGCTTGTTGGGACCAGCCTTCTACACTCAGCCAGGCAGTTTACAACTTCACCTTCACCTTTACTTCTTGCTTCATCAGAGCCTCAAGGTCAGCCAGAGGTGAGCACTTGGGGCCTTCTTAGGTCTTTCCTGAGCACATGCACAGCCCTGAGTATGCTCACAGCCCTATATATGCATGTGGCCTTTTAGGGTCCCAGGAATAAGGCAGAGCTTTCAAAGCCCCCTACGGAAACCTCATCTCCAGCTTTCCTTTAAAGACTTTTTTGTCAGCTTATTATAATAACCCCAACTGTTATTATCTCCTCAGGAAACTATAATGTTCAACAATTGCCTCTGATTGTTTTTGACAAACATCAGTCTGGGAAAAGGCTGTTCACACACCGGGCAAGCTCTGAGTCAGATCAAATAAAGACAAGGTTTGCTACTGAGATTTGCCAGGGAACTACCAGGTAGATCAAATCATGGCCATTGTTTGGGGAATGGGCTTTGAACGTGTTCTGCTCCCTTCTCTTCTCTCCCTAATGCACCATCCCAGGATGCGAGGCTGCTGGTTTTCACCATGATTGTGGGTAAAAGTTAAAATGCCACAAAGCACACTGTCCTTACCCAAATTCAACCATTTTTCTTGAATAAACACTTTCTGGGAGTTACTGAAAGACTAATTTATAGAGTTCTGAAAAGTTGATTATGACAATTTTTTTGCCAATTTCCTCATTGCTTTTATGAAGAAAATTTTTGGAGGTCTTTACTCCACCATTTCTACTTATGTCACTCTCAATAAGATTTTAAAGAGTGGGCTAGAAAGAAAGAGATTCAGTTTTTAGATTTGTCATATTATGAACCCTTCGGTATTAAAAATTCTTCAGAGACAGAATTAATTACTTTAGAATAGTGTGAACAAAAGATCAGAGAAGTTAAACCACTAAAATTGACTATCATATGAAGAGGCATTTCTCTAAAGGGGACATACAGATGGCCAACAGGCATATAAAAAAATGCTCAACTTCACTAATCGTTAGAGAAATGCAAATAAAAACCACAATGAGATACCACCTCACCCCAGTCAAAATGGCTATCATCAATAAATCAACAAACAACAAGTGCTGGTGAGGTTGTGGGGAAAAGGGAACCCTGGTGCACTGTTGGTGGGACTGCAGATTGGTGCAGCCACTATGGAAATCAGTATGGAGGTATCTCAAAAAACTGGAAATGGAACTACCGTATGACCCAGCAATTCCACTCTTAGGTATTTATCCA